AAGGACATAATTTGAAATTCAGACCTTAGTACTGAGAACTGGATAAATGCCGAGCTAACACATGAGAAAGAAGGATTCTATGCCATTTCTTTTCTCTAGGTACAGAAACCCGGTCCTTTCACCTCAGCAAATAACAATGACTCCAGTAGAACGCCTTTGCTAGAACTTCATTGATCCTGTTCAAGATCACGCCAGGGATCTTGATTTTAGCACTGAATCTTAAAAGATGCATTCACTGTATTTAAATGTTGTCTGAAGGCTAGCTACAGCAGAGATCACAATGTGTTTTAGCAATTATGAGACCACAGCCTGCCTGAAGCTACTATTTGCGTTTAGAAGTGGTTAGCGTACTGGCTTTGAGGTCAGCGATTTGTTGTTTCCTGGCTGTTTGTGAAGTTAATAGTTGGAATGCAGACTCTAGCGTTCAGGCTCTATCACAGAATTATGAAGGTTAGAAGGAATCTCTGGAAGTCATCTGGTCCAGCCCCCTTCTCTTGGCAGGGTAAACTAGAGGAGGTTTCTGAGATCCACTTGGGTTTTGAATATATCCACGGATGGAGACTCCACGACTTCTCTCAGCAATCTGTTCCGGTGTTCAACCACCCTTACAGGAAAAAAAAAAGTTCTTTGTTTATGTGTAAGTTTCATTTCCTGTATTCCAATTAGGGACCGTAACCTCTCTTCCTGTCGCTTGGTACCACTAAGAGTCTGACTCCATTTTCTTTACTTCTTCCCCCCATTATGTGTTTACACACATTAATAAGATCCCGTCCGAACCTTCTCTTCTCCTAGTTAAACGACGACAGCTCTCTCAGACTTTCCTTGTACGTCAGGTGCTCCCGTCCTTTCATCATCTCTGTGGCCCTTCACTGGCCTCAATCCCATACGTCCCTCTCTCTTGTACTGGGGAGCCCAGCACTGGACACAGCACTCCAGATGTGGCCCCACCAGTGCTGAGTAGAGGGGAAGGATCACTGTCTCGACCTGCTGGTGACCCTCTGCCCAACGCAGCCCAGGATGCTGTTGGTAGTCTTTGCCACAAGGGCACACTGCTGGCTCATGGTCAAGTTGGCATCCACCTGGACTGCCAGGTCCTTTTCTGCAAAGCACCCTTCCAGCTGATCCACCAGCATGTGGTCATTTCTCCCTAGGGGCAGGGCTTGTCATTTCCCTTGGCTGCACTTCGTGAGATTCCTGTCGGCCAAATTTGCCAGCCTGTTGAGGTCCCCTGAGTAGCAGCACAAGCATCTTGTTTATCAGCCACTCCTTCTGATTTTGCATCATCTGCAGGCTTGCTGAGGGTGCAGCACTCTGTCCCTTTAATGTCATCACTGGACCAAGTATCAGTCCCCTAAGGTACATCACTAGTCACTCACCTCCAGCTGAACTTTGTGCCAGCGATCACAGCCTTTTGAGCCCCGTAGTTCAGCCAGTTTTCAATTCACCTCACTGATGGCTTATTTAGACCATACTTCATTTATCTATAAGAATGTTATGGGAGACTGCTGAAAGCTTTGCTAAAGTCAAGATAAACAACATCCACTGCTCTCCCTTCATCCACTAAGCCAGTCATCTCACTGTAGAAGAGTATCAGGTGGGTCAAGCACGAAAACTATGCTGACTGCTCCTAATCACTTTGTTGTCCTTAATACATTTGGAATTTTTTTTCTGGGATTATTTTCCTCCTTGCCCCTCCTGAAGTCAGGAGTAGCACCTATTTTCTTCTGGTCCTCAGGAATCTCCCCTGATCACCATGACTTTTCAAAGATTGAGTGGCCTCACAACGACACCAGTCAGCTGCCTTGGCACTCGTGGGTACATCCCATCAGGTCCCATGGACTTGCGTACATCCAGTCTAAGCGTTCCCTAACGTGATCCTCCTCCACTGAGGGTAATTCTTCCTTGCTCCAGACTTTCCGGCCATTCTCAAGAGGTCTGGGATGCCTGAGGGCAAATCTTACCAGGAAAAACTGCAGGAAAGAAGGCACTGAGTGCCTCAGCCTTTCTCTGTGTTCTTTGTCACCAGGTCCCGTTCAGGAGCAGGTCCACATTTTCCCTAGTTCTCCTTTTGCTGCCTTTGTGACGGTGCGCTCCTTACCCGCCCCGATGTGCTGCTCTTCTCTCTCAGCCTAAACATCACCTTGAGATGGTGCTGTTCTCCCCCTTAGCCCAAACATCATCTCCTCGCACGGCACCTGGAAAGGGGCTAAATGAGCATGCACTAACCAAAACCCATCTAGCATGCAAACGTACCTGGACAGGGGCTAACTGAGCACCATCTAGTATGCTAATATGACTAGGAGTCAATCATCTTACCCCCATAAATTGGGGGGAGCCCAGAGCCCATTGAGCTCTCCTGCACATCGGTAGGCCGCACTGCAGAATCTCCTCTTGAGCAAGGACACCTCTCAAGGTTACTCCTCGAGGTCAAGAGATTCCTTACCAGCAACAGATCCTCAGTAAGTGACACTGATAGCATGCTAAACCTTTTTTAAGTTACCTTTCTGATTGATTGTGCTTATAAACTTTTGACGTAATTCTTAGGCACAAACTTTAGGCATAAAATTTAGACTAGGACTGGGTTTCCCCGACCTCTGCCTTGCAAGTTTTGCTAGGTTACATTTCTGGGTGATTGTGCAAACACTCCTTAGACATAAATCGTTGATCAAGTCTGGGACTAGGATCGAATCCGCTCGGGTCCTCTCTAAGCCTCGTGACTCAACGGGAGGGCCTCCTTGACACATTCAGCTGACCCTGTCCTCCAAGCAGTAAATAACCCAGGTGAATCTTGCCATTCAATCCTTGTTAAGTTGCTGTCTTAATCGATTGTACTGTTAAGTCAATAAGAAATCACAATTGTACTCTGTTAAATCAATAAAATATATTGCTGCTTCTCTCTACCGAGTGAAGTGCATTCCTCCTCCTCATTCCACCCACGACAGCCTTTCTTCTTGCTATTCACATCTGTCACCGGATTCCACTCCAGACAGGCTTGGGTCTCCCTAACAGTGTCCCTGCACATTTGGGCAGTGTCTCTATATTCCTCCTGGGTCACCTGTCCTTGCTTCCATCTCTCGTAGCCTCCCTTTTATGTTTGAGTTTAGTCAGGATTTTCTTGTTCATCTATGCAGGCCTCCTGCTACAGCTACTTGCTTGATTTCCTGTACACCAGGATGGACCTTTGTTGAGCTTGGAGGAGGTGATTCTTGAAAATTAACCAGCTTTCCTGGAACCCTCCCCTCCAGGACCATAACCCATGGGATTCTTCCAAGTAGGTCCCTGAAGAGGCCAAAGTTTGCTCTCCTGAAGTCCAGGATTGTGATCCTGCTATTTGCCTTGTTCCCTCTGCTCTCAGGATCCTGAACTTCACCCTCCCATGGTCTTCAGCCAAGGCTGCCCCAGCCTTCAGGTTCCCAGTCAGTAGTTCTTTGCTTGCAAGTATCAGCAGAGCTCCTCCCCTCTCTGTGGCTCCAGTGCCTCCTTCTTGTCAGATCCACGTTCACAAAACAGAAAGGCAGAAGAGTAGGAGGATTATTTGCAATACAGAGATCCCAAGTGTCTTCCATACCAAAATTTAGGCTCCTAGGCAAAAACTAGCCTGACCTCAGAGAAATATTTTCCCTAAATTTAATGACTGTTCTGCTGCTTTTTTTTTTTTCCTCCTGACAAGAACCGAGACCGTAGAACTGCTAGGGCTGGCATCACGGTCTTGCAGTCCTGCACTATGGCTCCAAGTGAAAGCAGGCATTTAACCCATGAAGCTCCTCCAGCTTCAGAGCCTACATAGAGAAATATTTAACAACGTACTTGACGATGTTTTAGGCTAATGACAAGCCAACCTTGCTTTGAAAACTGCATCAATAGAGATATTAATAAGAACGTTCAACACAGATCTTCTGTCTGGCTTACATACCATTTTGAAATCACTAAGAATCGGGAGACTATTTCTGTTTTGCTAAAAGAAAGATTCACTTTCATCCCTCCAAGCAGAGATACTGAGCTAAAGGTACAGGAGAGCTAAATTGCTCCAAAGTGCAGAGACAGGTTAGGTAAATTCAGCAAGGCTTCCCTCAAGGCCCTCAAACCTGAAAGATTTGTTCCTACAGCAAGATGCTTCCCACTTTTTGCTGACTCACACGTGACCTTAACCATTATAGTTCGGAACAGCATACTTCATTCAAAAAACATACAAGATCAGATCTCCTCACTGATACAATTCAATTAATAATACAACCAAATAATACAGATTTACATCAAACAGTAAAGCAGATGATTGGCTGGGG